GTAATCAACCAGGTAGGGTGTTGTCTGTTGTGTTAGCCGACTCTCTGTGTTGTATTGCATTGTATTAATAAGTTTACTAGGTTTGTTTTCTCGTTCATTCTTACCTGATGACGATTGCTTGTGTTGCAATTGAAACATCGTATTCTATTATTTAATTTATTTCCTTTCTCCATGACTTTACCGAAAGAACCAAAGAGTAAGCGTATTCATATTTAGAATACATGTGTAGTGTTTATAATGACGAATAAACTCTGTTTATTTTAATTCTTCTCTTACACAGTCCTTAACACACAGAGGGGTATACAGTCCCCTCACCCGATACCCTAAGGAGGTACAGCCTCCGGACTTAGCGGGACCTACACACAGGTCTCTTGATACCTAAGGAGGTACTTAGCGTGACCTACACACAGGTCTCTTGATACCTAAGGAGGTACAGCCTCCTATCTTGGCGGGACTTACACGTCTACCGCTATCCTAGAGTCCTCCGGCTGGGACCTAGGGGAGGCTATCTGACCCACCACTGGCCCGGCGGGTCTTGACCACTGGATACGCCGAGCCTTAGCCCTCAGAAGGGCTGGAAGGCTGGGTCCAGGGTCCTGGCTATCTTCAGCCCGGGCTTCGGTCTTCGTGTAGGGAGATAATTTTTCGCGCTCTGCGCGCTCACCTTTCTTATACTCGTTTGTGGTCAGGTCTAACCAATCCCACATTCCCACGTGGAACTGTCTGATTGGTTCTTACCAAACTGTGGCTACAATCCACTTCACCTCATCTGACCCCGTTTCACACAGAGGTAACGCTGCACTGCCCCTTTGATACCTAGTGGCAATGGAGGTTACTGAACGGTGAGTAGTTAGCACCTCTACACATGTAACGGCATATCTATAATGTATACGTGCTTTTTAACCCCCTCCTAAGTGTTGTAGTTAATACATTAGTGGGATTAGTCATACACCCGTTATGTCTCGCGAGGGTTTATTATATTAAAGTAGTGTTTGTGTTTCACATAAAGCTCTAAATACATTATTCACGTCCCCTCACGTTCGGTATCGATACAGACAGACATTCTGGATAGATAGATATTCTGGATAGATAGACATTCTGTAAACAGATCTTTTCAGTTCGAATAGTTTTGTTTAATGAAAAAACTCAAAGTGAGTTCCTCCTGCTGCTACTGCTGCTCGAACGAGTTGCTCATCTCCTGTTTACAGCCCTGCAGCGCCAGTGGTGGAACTTCCACATTCCTATGGCGAGAGCGAGTATCCATCAGACAATCACTCTTGACTTCCTAACAAAGTGGTGCACACTTTAACCACCCTGGAAGGTGGGGGGGATGATGGGCTGAGTCAATCCCCGACTAAGAGTTGAACTCGCAGAATTCTGATTGTGAGCTGCTCACTCTATTACTGAGCCCCATTTTGCCGGCTTTTAGTGCTACAGACGATGAAGGGAGGGCATCTGAGGGACGGGAGAGGGAAGGAGGAGATCTGTGAGGGATAGGAGGCTGTGATGGCAGGGCTCTGTGAGAGGCTGGGATTCTGTGAGAGATAGGAGGCCGTGATGGCAGGGACTGTGAGAGACTGGGATTCTGTGAGGAGGCTGTGATGGCAGGGACTGTGAGAGACTAGGATTCTGTGAGGGATAGGAGACCGTGATGGCAGGGACTGTGAGAGACTAGGATTCTGTGAGGGATAGGAGGCTGTGATGGCAGGGACTGTGAGAGGCTGGGATTCTGTGAGGGATAGGAGGCTGTGATGGCAGGGCTCTGTGAGAGGCTGGGATTCTGTGAGGAGGCTGTGATGGCAGGGCCTGTGAGAGACTAGGATTCTGCGAGGAGGCTGTGATGGCAGGGCCTGTGAGAGACTTGGGCGTGGAGAGAGGAGAGGGCACGGTGGTTTCCCGGTTCCTCCTCCCTCGGGCTCCCCGCGTCGTGCTCACAGCATCTCGCACACTTCGTCGTATGGCGGCTGTCGTGGTGTAGGCCTCAGCCTTCCCAAGCACTGTGACATAGAGACACGGACAGTGGCAGAGCACGGTTGGCTACGTACGGTGCGAAAGAAGTTCAAACTACATACATGCGTGCATTGGGTTTCGTGTCTCAGTCCATCAACGTATTACACAAATAAAGCATATATTTAGTAGAATAAAATCGAATATCTGACTTCAAATTGACACCCAGTATGTATTTGATGATTTAACGTGTTTTATTTGGCCTAATGTGTGGAACTGCTCAGAGGGGAACTTCCATCATCGCAGTCATTCGGAGAGCGGTTTCCGTCGCGGTCAATCGCCTGAAAATTTCCTTTGCCAGGCGATGGTCGTGAGACGTTTCTCAAGTTGGAAAATGTTGATCACGCCTCTGCAAGCTATCGAGTGGAGGTGGCAGAGGTGCGCACACGCGCACGGTTATCCTAGGCGCAAACTTCCCGAGAAATCCCTCCTCGTCCTCTCGGCACATCACCGCGCGTCGAGGTTTGCAACCACGAGTCGATCGATCAGGGCGATCGATCAGGGCGATCGATCAGGGCGAGCGGGCGGGCGAGTGCTCGAGCCCGGCCGCTCTCCCGGTCCCTTATCCCTCGCTCACCCCCGTGAGTCTCCCGGTCTCTTATCCCTCGCTCACCCCTGTGAGTCGCTCGTCCCTGCAAGGAGGCCGGCGGGCCCAGCGGTTGGCGGCCGCCGTCCCCACCACGAGCAGCAGCAGCAGCGCCGCCAGGGTCCCCAGCACCGTGGCCAGGCCCCCCGCTCTGGGCCCCCCCTGTGGGGGCTCTGCCGAGGGCGTCGCCTCCTCCAGTTCGCGACGTCGCTCCTCACCTGCGTGGGTGGAGAAGCGGGGGTCGTGGCTGCGTGGTGGTGGCGGTGATAGCAGTGGCAGTGGTGATAGCAGTGGCGGTGGTGGTGGCGGTCGTGGTGGTGGTGGCGGTGGTGGTGGCGGTGATAGCAGTGGCGGTGGTGTTGGCGGTGGTGGTGGTGGTGGCGGTGGTGGTGGTGGTGGCGGTGGTGGTGGCGGTGATAGCAGTGGTGGTGGTGGTGGCGGCGGTGGTGGTGGCGGTGGTGTTGGCGGTGGTGGCCGCCTCTCTTGCTAGCCGCGGTCAGTAAAACTGACCTCTGAAGCTGAGCTTACACCGTGCTGAAAACATCTCAACATAAAAAGAAACCCAATGTAACAGGTACCCTCCTGTAACAAAAAAAACGTTTTTGGCCTCAGGTGTGGCTCTCCTTGATACGTAAGAACTTACTATTTTCGTTTATTATAAAAGCAGGCGAATTAAGCGTATAGCTGTTGGCCCGCGTCGTGCAGCGCGTTTAAACTTGCCACTGGTCCTGGACACAGGGAATCGACGTTTTGCACTGTTCAGGCCCCCCCCCGCCCTGTCTCGCCAATTTGCTTCTTGTGTTGCGCAGGTTCAGTGGTGCGAGAAGTTCGCTGTCGCGGGAAACACTCGGCGTTCCGGCCTGGTCGCGTCACGCCTCCGATTAAGCACCGTCGGCTACGTACGGTGCGAAAGAAAGCCGCACCGTACACCCGTGCACGTACGTCCGCGGCCCACGAGCTGTGAGGCTGCCCACGCTGTGTCCGTGTCTGCGTCTCTGTTCGCGTCCCTCTTCGTGTCTCTCCGTCATGCCCTCTTTTACTGGATCTCCACATTCGATTTTTTTCGATGAGTGTGTGCCATCTACTCGATGGAAAAAAAAAACTGCTCGCAAAAACTGAGAGGGTGGATAGAAGTGCATCCGTCCCTGCCAAGAAAATACAGGAGGGATATCGTCCTCGCAAAGAGGATAAATGGCGAGTTAGGCAACATCAAATACGCCGGGGCAATTGTCCTCTTCCTGAATGGAGAGCGCCAGGAATCGTCTCACACTCTCCTGTCTTGTTGTGTCTATCTCTCCAATTGTCTCTCCCTCTCTAATCTCATGCTCTTGTGGTGCACAAGAGCACGTGCTGTGGTGTTGTGGTGCTCTGCACCAGCAGCGGTGCACAGCACCACAGCAGGTGCTGTGCACCAGCAGCGGTGCACAGCACCTGCTGCCCACAACTAGGCACACGTAAACCCCCGGCTCAACTCTCATTGAAGAGCAATGCAGTTCTAGGAAGCCACCGTGATTGCTGCCCGCGGGAAACCACCAATCACTCAGCAGAGGCCGGTTTCCGGCACGGGGCCCAGGAGCGAGAAGGGATCGAGGTGGGGGCGTGCGCGACGCCTTTGTCACCGATTCAGAGAAGTCAGAGAAGCAGGTTTCTGCCATGCCTCTCTAATCCGGTTCGAACACTTTGAAAAAAATATATCAAAGAGCGAATTGAGCCCGGGGGGGGTGGGGGGCGACCACAAGTAGTAAGGCCGATATTGTGTCTGAACAAAAATGCAAACATGGAAATGTGATGATGAGCAATCGAACGGCGGCGAGGCAAGTGAAGGCTTGCTCTCGCCGGGCCGGGAGGAGCAGCGGAAGGGAGGCGGCGGTCGGGGGCTCGCGCGGGGTCGAGGATGGTGTCCATGACCGTCGCGCGCTGCAGCTAAACCGGATCGGTGACAACCGCAGCGAGGACGCGCGCCAGCGCTGCTCCCGGTTACCCGGCTCGACCGTGCGTGCGGGTGCGTGCGGGTGTCGAGGGTGCTCGTGCGCGTGGGGGGGGGGTTCTTCTCTGGGGCCCTGTGGCTTCACTCGAACGACCCCGAGTGAGAGAACGGCCAGTACGCAGCTCTCCGGTGTGGTTCCGGGTTGTGCTGTGGTCAGAGAGCCGCAGAACGAGCAATGGTGCAACGACGCGGTGCGAATGAAGACCCACTCGCCCACCGTGCGCGTTTTTTACCAAAAAAAGAGCACGAAAATTAGGAAAGTTCGCTGAACGCCTCGCGGATCGAACGCCGAGGGGAACGCGTGGCGGCACTGAACGCTGCCTCGTGGCTACGCCGCTGCACGTGGCCGGCAAATCCAGCGCCGTGGAGGCAGCGGCGAGAGTTGGTGGAACGCGACGTGGACATCGAGGAGGAGCCACACCCTGGCCATCGCCTGTTCCGTCAATGCGGGATGAAGGGGACCTCACCGAGCGAAACTCCGGACGGGGCGGTGGTCGCTCCTCCCCGGGTCCCCGGAGCTGTGGAGGTCAGGTTCCGCTCTGGGTCCTCGCCGCAGATGTCACCGTGTGTCTGGGCCGCGTCGCGTCGGACGAATAGGTTGGGGGGGGACATGGGGCAGGGGGTAAGGTGCGGAGGGGAGGGCAGGCAGGGCAATGGGACACCGGGGCACGACTGGTGTCCTGGATCTCGGTGGTGACGGCTGCGGCAGTCACGTGGCCGGGCGATTCAGAGGTTGGAAACGCAGCGCCGGCACCACGGAAGATCCTGGGTTCGAGTCGAGGTTTCAGCCGTCCCAAATACAATGTACAGCGGCCTAGCTTTTAAGGCACCTTCATATATATATAAATAACAAAAAGTTACCTTTAGAGAAATAAAGTTTGACTGAGTGAGTGAACCCCGCAGTGGTTAATACGAAATCCGCCCCTCAGATTAGCATGGTTGCCTACGTACGGCGCGAAAGAAGTTCAAGGTACATACATCCGTACAATACGCGTTCTCCCTGTCGCCAATACGGCGACAAAAATAACCTCTCAAGTGGCTGCACAGCTGCACGGCTGCACAGAGGGGATCTTTGTAGGGTAGGCTGCTGTCCCTCACCTTCTCTGGGCAGCCAGCGTGCACCCACTCCTGGCGAAAGCGATCCAGCAGCCCATGGGAGCATCTGCCAGGTCACGCGGGCACCGCCACAACAACAACAACACAGAGCCACCTTTATTATTCTTATTATCACGAACGAAACACTATAACAAAAATATATATTTTTTTATTTGACCAGCTAAGGCCCACTGAGCTGGTGTGTAGCTCCTTTTTGTTCACAAGCGACCTGCCTACCACAAATGATAGCTTGACGAAGTCGGTTTATCGCCATGTGCGCATTGACATCGGCCAAATACTCCAAAGGCACGTTTCTAAATATGCGGGGGGAAAACGGGAGGACTCGGAGAAAGATCCACGCGACCACGGGGAGAACCCACAACTTCCTGCATACCAGGCGAGGTAGATCACATCCCTCCCGTCGCACCGCCTTTACCAGGACGGCCGCTCAATTCGAACTACGAACCGCTGGGGATAGATGAAATTGTAATGGGGTGAGCACCGGCGATCGCAGGTGAATGTACAGGTGAGTGTACAGATGTTTGATAAGTGAGTTTACAGGTCAGGTCGACTCAGCCTGCAATGAGTACCTGCTGCGGTGTGCAAACATCGCCACTAGGGAGACAAAGGCGGCCGGGCGTGGTGTTGGCCACCCACCCCCTTGTGTGCCGTGCCGGCCTTTATAGGTGCTCGCTAACAGCACTTACCCCAACAGCCTGGTAAGGCTATACAGGGGATCTTTGTCTTTGTAGGTGAGTGTATGGCTGAGTGTGTGGGTGAGTGTGTGCTTGAGTGTGCAGGTGAGTGCGTAAGTGATTGTGCAGGTGAGTGTGTAGGTGAGTGTGTAGGTGAGTGTGTAGGTGAGTGTGCGGGTGAGTGTACAGGTGAGTGTGCAGGTGAGCGTGTGCTTGAGTGTGCAGGTGAGTGTGTAGGTGAGTGTGTAGGTGAGTGTGCGGGTGAGTGAACAGGTGAGTGTGTATGTAAGTGTGCAGGTGAGCGTGTGCTTGAGTGTGCAGGTGAGTGTGTAGGTGAGTGTGTAGGTGAGTGTGCGGGTGAGTGAACAGGTGAGTGTGTATGTAAGTGTGCAGGTGAGCGTGTGCTTGAGTGTGCAGGTGAGTGCATCTGCGCCTCACCTGCCCACGCCATGGCACCAGAAGCAGTGGAAGCCGATGCGAGCGGAGACGCACTCCACGCAGCTCCTCAGCTGCTGGCACACTGAGGCGGTGGGGGGGAGGCGCAGGGCATTGGTGAAGAGAAGTTGAACGACGAGGCGTGTAATGTTTGAGCGAGAGCCGCAGTCAAAGTGCGATGGAGGTGGATTTGAGTCGCGCGCGTTCAGTGAGGCGCTGCACAGAAGCAGTGGGGATTTTTATTTTTTTTCACAGTGGGGACCGGGAGTCGATGGCACGGGTGGCTGGGGGAAGGGCGCTCGGAACGATGGAGGAGGAGGAGGATCTACACAATTGTGTGGACACGAGGATGATGGCCCGTGGTCGAGAGTAATCGCGGAGTGGCAGCCAAGGGAGGGGACGCGCCCGAGAGGACGGCCACTGCGGAGACGGAGCGATGGAACGAGCGGTAGCATCGCAGGAACGTGAGAGGCGGGGACGGCTTAGCGAGGCCTCCATCCAGCAGCGGATTGACCATGGCTGATGATGATGTACGTACGTATGTACTCCGAACTTCTTTCGCACCGTACGTAGTCAACCGTGCTAATCGGAGGTGCGGGAACTAATAATTATAATGAAAGCGATGAGACCGACGTTTACGGAGTGGGGGGAGGGGTGGGGGGAGGTGCGGGGGGGGGGCGTGGGGGGTGAGAGTGCACGTGACGGTGGGGGCAGTAACTGGGCAGGGGCAGAAACTGGATGGCAGCGCCGCTCTGCACAAGCGACACGTCCAGCATCACCCGCTCGTACTCGTAGAGCACGCGCCGCGACAAGCCTGCACGGGGAGAGGGGCACGTGGGGTGAAAGAGGGCACGGGGTGGGAGAGAGAGGGCACAGGTGGGACAGAGAGGGCACGGGTGGGAGAGAGAGGGCACAGGGAGAGAGAGGGCACGGGTGGGAGAGAGAGGGCACAGGGAGGGAGGGCACGGGGTGGGAGAGGGCACGGGTGGGAGAGAGAGGGCACGTGGTGGGAGAGAGAGGGTACGGGTGGGAGAGAGAGGGCACGGGTGGGAGAGAGAGGGCACGGGGTGGGAGAGAGAGGGCACGGGGTGGGGGAGAGAGGGCACAGGGAAAGAGAGGGCACAGGGAGAGAGAGGGCACGGGTGGCAGAGAAAGGGCACGGGTGGGAGAGAGAGGGCACGTGGGGAGAGAGGGCACAGGAGAGAGAGAGACGGCACGGGGAGAAGGCACAGAGTGGAACGCTCTTCCTTCCGATTAGGAAGCCGCTGTAGCTTTGTACTTTTAAATATAAATTGAAAACGAATTTCTTTAGAACCGATTTTTGTGTTTAGTTTGTTATCCTTCGCCCATACCTCCGATTAGCAGCACAGTTGGCTACGTACGGTGCGAGCGAAGTTCAACATACATACAGGTTAGAGAGCATTATAATTGTAAGAATGCACGCTCAACAGCGATTTGATGAATTCTCACGATTGGGACGTCGCCACCAACCAAAAAATCGCGAGTTGAATACTCACGCCATCTCCTTGTTTTACCGTTTCATGTTTTACCGTAAAATACAATAAATGTAATTTAGTTTTATCGGTCTTCCACAATACAGGTTTTTTTGGGTTAGATCGCGTAAATATTACCAGTACAGCGTGTCTGCGTACGTTCTGCATAATCCGTGACCAATTCTCTCGCACACCTCCTGTCCGCCCTTGTGTCCCTGTGAGGTCGCGATCCGGTGCGAGTCCGGACGGAGCCCTTGCCGGAACGACTACAGCTCAGAGAGAGGGAGGGATGGATGGTTGATGGGTGGGATGGACGGTTGATGGGTGGGATAGACGGTTGATTGGTGGGATGGACGGTTGATGGGTGGGATAGATGGTTGATGGGTGGGTTGGATGGAAATCTGGTTAATGGATGGTTGGTTGATGGGCTGGATGGATGGTTGATGGGTGGGATGGACGGTTGATGGGTGGGATGGATGATTGATGGGTGGGATAGATGGTTGATGGGTGGGATAGATGGGTTATGGGTGGGTTGGATGGAAATCTCGTTAATGTATGGGATGGTTGGTTGATGGGCTGGATGGATCGTTGATGGGTGGGATGGATGGTTGATGGGTGGGATGGATGGTTGATGGGGTGGATGGATGGTTGATGGGTGGGATGGATGGTTGATGGGGTGGATGGTTCACGGGTCGGTTGAATCGTTGATGGGTGGTGGGATGGTTGTATGTATATCGAACTTTATTCGCACTGTACGTAGCTAATCGGAGGTGTGCGGGGAAGCACAAGAAGGTGAACACGTGGGGCGCGTTTCGTGGGGCGCAGGGAGTGAACCGCGGCCGACCTGGCCTGGCGGTGTCTGGCGGGGTCACGGTGAAGGCGTCCGAGAGGCCGACACGCACGGGGTGACGAGCGGTGGCGAGCGACGCGATCGGCACGGGGACCTGGGAGCGACGTCGCCATCACCGACACCATCACCGACACCATCACCATCAACCACACCATCACCGGCACCATCACGAATACTGATACCATCACCGACATCATCACCATCACCGACACCATCACCGACACCATCACCAACACCATCACCGACACCATCACCAGCAACCACACCATCACCGACATCATCACGAATACTGACACCATCACCGACACCATCACCGACATTATCACCGACACCATCACCCACACCATCACCGACATCATCACCATCACCGACACTATCACCGACACCATCACCCACAACATCACCGACATCATCATCAACAGCAGCAGTTGCAGGACCATCATTATCATGATCAAAACCACGGCCAACACCCCCTTTTCATCATCATGATGATCTAAAGTACCACCAATAAAACCACCACTGATATCATCAAGGCTATGATCACCATCATCATCATCATCACTACGAAAACACACCGACACAACCATCGCTGTTATTGTTGCCACAATGAGCACTACCGACATCACCAGAATCACCGCCATCTGCGGCACCATGGCGGTGCTCACCTGGCGGTAGGCGAACACGATGGTGCCCGACCGATGGAGCGACACCTGGAAGGTGAAGGACGCTCCACGCGAGTCGTTCTGCAGCCGGACATTACGCCACTCCACCACCATCACCGAGCCTGAACATCACCATCATCATCACCATCATCATCATCAGAGCCACTCCACCACCATCACCGAGCCTGAACATCACCACCATCATCATCAGAGCCACTCCACCACCATCACCGAGCCTGAACATCACCACCATCATCATCATCAGAGCCACTTCACCACCATCACCGAGCCTGAACATCACCACCACCATCATCATTATCAGAGCCACTCCACCACCATCACCTAGTCTAAACATCATCATCATCAGAGCCACTCCACCACCATCACCGAGCCTGAACATCACCACCACCATCATCATCATCAGAGCCACTCCATCACCATCACCGAACCTGAACATCACCACCATCATCATCATCAGAGCCACTCCACCACCATCACCGAGCCTGAACATCACCACCACCATCATCATCAGAGCCACTCCACCACCATCACCTAGTCTAAACATCACCACCACCATCATCATCAGAGCCACTTCACCACCATCACCGAGCCTGAACATCACCACCATCTTCATCAGAGCCACTCCACCACCATCACCGAGCCTTAACATCACCACCATGATAATCAAAACCGCTCCACAACCACCACATCACCACCACCACCACCAGCATCATCATCGCGGCCCCTGCCATCGTCACCGTTGTCGAAGTGGCTGATGGACGAGCGGGGGTCGAGTCCTGGAGCGAAGTCGGCCATGAGCGGCGCGATGAACTGGGCCGAGGTGAGGTCGACGTGGCCGGGGCCCTCGATCGTCGACAGGAACCCTGTGGCGCCACGAGCCACGAGTTCAGAACAACATTAACTGGCACGCTGCAAGGTCCCACCGCGTGCGCTCCAATACAACGGTGGGGTTCACCCTCTGTGGCAATAAAACAGTTGCGTTATGATGTTTAAAACACCAAACAGAATCCCTTTGTCAAGGAATCATGCCACCGCATTCACCACACGCAGTACTTGTCCCATAGTGTAGCTGCTCACCCCGAGATATAAATGCCCTGATAGTGGCATTGCCCTTGCACTGTTCGCCTTTTGCCATTCTCTGGTCTAACACTTTGAGACTCGGCTCTAAAGAAAGCTGTCTCTTTTTTGTTTGCATGTTCACCACAGGTACGTGTGGCTAATGTAGACAGGATTCCTTGAAAAAAGATTCAATTGGAAGACTTCACCTCTCAATGATTATTAATGAGGGGGGGCTGTTCGATGTGGATTGACGTCACCTGCTCATTATTATTAATGAGCGGGGAGGTCCACGTGGAGTAACATCACACGCGGGACACACAGACATTCTTGGCTCATTAAAGTAGTAATTGAAGTGAGAATGTTCCGTCATCTGCTGTGTACCTGCTGCTGTGTTTGTTTACAAGTCGCTCCGCGTGTGCGATGCAGCTCTCGAACGATTTTGGTCAAAGACAAAAACACTCAACTGCCTCCTCCTCTTCTTTGGAAGTTTGCCGACCCCTGTAGCAGACATAGACGTACAGATACGGGGGGGGGGGGGGGGTCGGGGGGGAGGCGATGTCTTACCCCCCGTGGCGACTCCGATGTCCGTCAAGTCGTGTCCGAAGTACGGGAACGGGAAGGACAGGCGAAACCTCTGCAGGGGCGAGAATTGGCAAATCGCTCGACCCGTGAGGCTTGGGTTATTGTGACCGCGGTCGAAACATAGCACCGACATTGTGAATGTTGCGGCTTTTTCTCGCCAACAAACCGGTTGTGCTGAAGTAGTCACCAATTGACACTTGTGGTTATACGTGACAAACCTGACTAATTGGCTGTCGGGTTGGTGGCGGAGTTACCGATACATTTATATTTACACCATCTAACCCAAAAAACCTGTATTATGGAAGACCAATACACTTATGAATAATATTGGTCGCGAAAGCCTACGACGTGTTAAACAGATGGGAAAGTCCTGGCGGCGGGTGGGATTACTTTCTGATGAGCAGGGATTACT